GGTGGGTAAAAAAATAAAAAAATTGAAGTTGAAAAATATATTTTTAAAAAAACTTTAAATTTATTTTTCAACAAAAAATTTGATTTTTTCAACAAAAAAATTGATTTTTTCAACAATTTTTTTTTATTGAAGTTGGAGGAAAGTTTTGGAAAATGTTTTCATTACTTTTTGAAGGAAAGTCATTTTCCTTGAATTTGAGAAAAATGAGTTGATTTGAAAAACATTTTACCCAACCAAACATGAGAAATCCTTCGTACCAAACACACTCTTAGTGTATTTGGCACTTCTTTTTTTTCTTGGAACTTATTTTAAGAAGAGGCAGCGTATGAAAATATTTTAATTTCTTTAATTGATTTATAGGGCATCTTTTCAGTGCTTAATCTTTATTATTATTCTGAGCATTTTTGTTTTATTGAGTCATTTATATACCAGTTTTTTCACATGTATTTGTTTGTCCTAGATTCTACAGTTTTGGCCTCAATTATTTTGACTCTTTACATACATAAACAGTCTAATAGATCTTAACAACAAAAAATAATTTTAATCTTTGCTCTTTTTACAAATTTAAGTTAGTATGTGATGTATAATTAATTAATATACACACTGATTATACTCTTGTTATATGATGAATATAGACCGGCGATGAATACAAATTATTTCTGTCAATTAGGCAAAATATCTTAATCAGCTGACTAAAAATATTAAAATGATATTAATTCAATTCGCTTCAATAATTGAAAGGAATCATGGATCACATAAATATTCAACCAGATTTAAAGGGTATCTTTCATATTTCCTTTTTCATTTTTTGACAATTAATTGAAAAACAAAAAGATTGGTCCAATTTGATTCTAATTTGATATGAGGGCCAAGGAAGAATAATAATAATTTAATCAGAGAAATGATTAGTACTTAAATTAGTGACCACTTTTGCTACTACATCAGTCGTGTTCAAGAATTTAGTTTTAACTTACTAAAGTGTACCCTTCTTTCAAAAAAGCTGTATAACTTTCCTCTCATTGGAGTTAAAAACAAATAAATAGTAAAATCGAGTAAGGGACTCCGTATATATCCAAACAAATGTACTGAAAAGTCATTTGAATAATATATAGGTCTATCTTCTTTTCTCATGAAGTAATTAACTATTCGAGTAAGCCTCACTAAATATATAAACTTATATTCAATTTATATAAACTAATTTTTCTATCTCAATTTATGTAATTTTTAGAAAATCTTTGTTTACGTATGTTACCTTTTGGGAGGCCTATGTCTCATAAACAATGTTTATGTGAGACTGTCCCTTGGTCCGTAGGTCCTGACACAGGATTAGAATCATTCCTAATATCCAGTCATATAGTGTTATATAAATTGAGTTGGTTAGAATAAACAAAAGACACCGCAAAAAAAAAAGGAAGTAGAGTAGGTAGGGAAGTTTATGATGAGTGAATGTGGTTCAAATAAAATCATCCGCGTCAACACTCAAGAATACGGACAACCAAAACGTGAAACTGCTGGGACGCATAATTAGAGAAGTACTAGTTGGTGAGACTGAGAAGTTTATTTATTTATTTTTACCTGGTGTTCAGAGCTCAATTTTGGAGTTCTGATTAAATTTAGACGGCACACTGCAGGATTTATTTGAGGGTTGTGTTTTTAACATGATTTTTTTCATACCCAAGAGTCAAATTCGAGGTGAAACAATCTTACTACTACACCATAATTAGTGTTAGTGATACTGAGAAATTAATAGTTACTCTCTCTGTCTCTAATTGCTTGTTCACTTTTGAATTGACACACCTATTAAGAAAGCAATGATTGACATAGTAAGTTTATCATTTTACCCCTATTAATTATGAAGTTGATGAATTAAAAACTTAAGATTTTCAAGAAGATATATCTTTTTTTCAAAATAATTAATTAAGAGTATAATAGGTAAATCATTTTTTGTCCTTTCTTGATTTGTCAAAATGGATAAATAATTAGGAACAACTAAAAAAAAAAGTGATCAAGTAATTAGGAATAGAGGGAGGACTACTGTATTACCCGTTTATTGGTGGTGGATAAGATTATACTTGTTGACGTGTATGTATGTAGGATTTTTATATGTACAAACAATTCTTCCTTATCCCCCTCACCCCACCCCACCCCGCCCTTGTTTCAAAAAAATCTAAACAACCCCCTAAGCTACTCTTTTTGGTTATAAATATCTGTGCTTTGGCAATAGAAACATAAAAGAGTAGTCTTATTATTTTTCCATATAGCTTAAGCTAATTTCAAGATTATCATAACATTTACTGTGTATTGAATAATGGGAAGAGAAATTGTGAAAGCAGAATCAGTTGAGGAGACAAACTTTAACTGGTCATCAGATTCATCATCCACAACATCCTCTTATGATGAAGAAAACAGGATGCCTTTGTTGGCATTGAATCATGTTTCCTATGTCTGCAAATCTGTTCCTAAATCTGCCCAATTTTATGAACAAGTCCTTGGTTTTGTACTCATCAAACGACCATCATCCTTTGACTTTGATGGTGCTTGGTAAATATACACACACATTCATTCTATCGCTAATTTGTTACTATTAATTTTACATCTATTTTTACCTGATATTTTGGGTTTATGTTTTTCAGGTTATTCAACCATGGAATTGGAATCCATTTATTAGGAAAAGAAGATGTGCAATCAAAGACTGGAAAAATAAACCCAAAAGATAATCACATTTCATTTCAATGTACAGATATGGATCTTATTATTCAGAGATTGAATGATATGAATGTCGAATATGTAACTGCTACTGTTAAAGAAGGCGGAGTTACAGTAGATCAACTTTTCTTTCATGACCCAGATGGCAACATGATTGAAATTTGCAATTGCCAAAATTTACCTGTTCTTCCACTTTCCTCTTGCCCACTCAAAAAGATGTCAACTCCAACTTTCAACCAAACAATGTCAGATTCCTTTTATGGTACGTACGTACGTAGTGCACGATATTTACATCAAACTAATAAATATATACGCGTTTCTCATTTGTTTACTGGATTTGTTAATGCAGGAAATGGAAAAACAAATACAAAGATGAATTGTGCTGGAGAAGTTGAGTCTCTTATGATGGAAAATTTAGCTTTGGATATGATAGACATTTCTTTTTGAGTGATCCATGTGGAAGAAAAAAAAAGAGTGATTTTTGCTCCTTCATTATTAGCCCCTTTTTTTTACCAACCCAAATATACCATAAAAATTCCTTTTTGTAATATTGTTATTATTATTATTATTATGTATTAGTATGTGTAGAGAGGTGTGATGAAGAGCATATATTATTATAAATATAATGTAAAATTGAGATTATGTCAATGCATGATTGTTGCTACCCATGTCAAAAAATAAATGATACAAGGCATGTTATGTGCCCTAAAAAAGTCAAATCTTTTTATTAATTGCATTGTAAATATTTTCCTATAAATGTAGCGCGTAGAATTAGTAATACTTCGATTTCAATTAATATAGTTGTGCTTGATTGAGTAAGAAAATTTTAAACATAATACAAAGATTTTGGATACATAATAAAGTTAAGTATATAAACATACTAAAAATAATCTATAAGAACGGATCAGCTTAGCTGCAATCGAGCTGGCATTTAAATGGAAAAAATATATAAGTATCTAAAAATAGAACAATGATTTGCTTTAGAAGTAGAAAGCTTAGGAAAGAAGAAGAGAATTTAGGCTCAGTTTTGGAATGGAAAAAACAGAACTCGGATCGTTTGGCATGAGAAATAAAAATAAATAGTTATGAATAAGAAAATAATTTAGAAATAAAATGTTGGTATCTTATTTTCGTTGTCAAATTTGAAATAACTTGTTCCTAACTAAACGACTCCTTAGTACTAGGCGTTTATTCTTTTAATTGATTTAATGCATTGCATATTTAAATCAATCTATGTCCAAAACAAATATTCCAACTGACGGAGGAAAAAAAAATAGTAGGATTAAAACTTTGGTAAGGAGTGAATAAGTGATTGGTGCTGTGACATTTCAATTTTATTTTTGCGATGTTTTTATGACGCACATAAGTAAACATATTTTTCCTATCAAATAATCTATTAAAAATCTTTTATTTTTCCTATCAAATAATCTATTGAAAATAACGAAGCAGTGAATAAAGTTATTTCTTATTAGAGATTTTGTTTTTATGTCTTGATTTGAAAAAAAGATATTGATAAGAAACACTATCTATCCCGAATGGATTTTATCCGATATAAATTTAAATTAGATTTTAATATAAATATTAAATATTGGATAAAAAATTCAAAGTTACCAATAATTTTTTTAAATTTTTTGCGGAAAGAAAACATATTCACGCGCATTATATATAATATGTGTGATGAATGAAAATGTTTCTTCCTTAATTAAAATTTTAATTTTAAATCCTAAATATTTAAAAAAATTATTTCTTAAAATAGAAAATGCTATCCCAAAATAAGCTCTATTTGATAAATATTTAAATTAATCAGACTTCAATATATGTATCAAATATGAACACATTTCACATTTTCCTTTATCTGTTATAACTATTGTGAAACAAAGAGTACGGACCAATAGTGGGTTGTGGACTGTGGACGGTGGTAGAGCTAGTCCTTCATTTTTAATTAGAAATTTGGGTTTGAGTCTTTTTGGATGTGGAATCGCCTTTGTTAGCCGTTAGGGAGCGCTTTACCCCATTAAAAACTTTTCGGTGCGAATTCAATCTAATCGGATTTTAATATAAATATCAAATTCCGATAACGAAACTTGCGTTTGGAGAATGGGACCCATCAAGCACGTGATTCATCAATAAATTTTTGACAGCTCACTTGTACTACAATTATTATGTCACCACCACTAATGGTGAAAACAGAAAAACAAATTCTAATTTCGAATCTTATGGATTCAAAAATAGCGGAATTGTTAAACCAAACCCAGGTGCACTGGTGGAAGTGCTTCATTCTTAATCAGAGATTTCGAGTTTGAGTCTTGGGATGGAGAAAATCTTGTTGGGAGCGCCACCCCGAATGGGCCTTGCAGTGCGCGATCCGAATTTAGTCGGAGCTCCAATGTGGGCTCCGGACATCGGGCGAAAAACCAAAAAAAAAAAAGAAAAAGATATGTTAAGTATATAAAAATGTTATTTAATTTTATGATCTAAAATATGAAATTGAAAATATTATTTATCTATTTATTTGTTTGAAAAGTAGATAAAAAAGCATTTTTAAATTATTTCTACATAATTAAAGCAAACATAATGGGGGTTGAGGTTAGAACCATAGGGGATGGTGGTTGTGTAGGGATGGGGCTAGGAGAAGTTAATTTGTATTTCACTTATCAAAATTTATTATACCCAACTCAATTAAAGAGGTTATTCTTTTCGTATTATGATTTATCTTTTAAAAGAAAAATTAACTAATTGAGCATGAGAAATTTGAAAAAAAAAATATTTTCCTTCATTCCAAACATACCCACAATGTTGCATCTACATAGATACATATAAAAATCAGTATGTGACTTAAATCCTATTTAAATGGATTTATTTTAGATATTTGTCAATCAAAATAGTTTTAAAACTCTTTGATCGTGTTTAAATAAGATTTAAAAGTGCTTCTAACACTTATTTTAATGTCAAAAATAATAATTTAAAAAATTATATACGTTATAAATCATAAGTCATTTAAACAGCGTGTGAAAAGATGAAGTGATAAAGTGTTTGATATGTCATGAGTGCTAGTGGACAAAGAGTCAATGTTGTATTTATTATGGCAATAAAGATGAGTACACTATATCACGTACTACTCCATAAATGAGTCCTAAATACTCCTTCCTTCTAACAATACTTGTCAATTATTGATTTAACATACCTTTTAAAAAATTATAAATAGAAGGATAATTTTATTACGATATAACTATTTGAATGAGAGTATTCAATAAAGGTGAAAAAAAATATCTATGCTCTTGGTCAACAAGTCATTAATCGTATTTAAGTGACTCCATCACCAATATGGTTATTGCTATCTAATTGAAATTTTCTAAAATTATTATTTAGTAGATATTATTAAAGTGGGTAGGTAATATGGAAATACTAATTTAAGAAGGAAAATTAGTGTTTCCGTGATTTTAATTAGGAGGGAAATATTAACTTTAAGATGGATAAAGGGGTTATATTTTTATAAATCAAATTTGATATATGTATTCTAAACCTATAAATAAAAATTTAAGGACAATATTTTTGAAGATATTTATATGTAAATGTCTCTTTTACAGAAAAGTAATGAATCGCAAATTGTAACAAAAAGTAAAGACAAAGGCCTAATTAATAGTGACATATTATGTATAAAGGCTTGCCTAATCAATAAATTGGGTACAACTTATAATTGACTTTATGATATATTTTATTTATATGGGAAGAACATGACGATATTAGGTCTGCCTTTAATTATACATATGTTGTTATGGTTGAAGAGATTAGAAGCAATACATATTGGTATTGAACATTCAATTTTTCATACTATTTTATTGTTATAAAACGAAAATTGATAATTCAACCTAAAGTAAACCACTAATCTCTTATGTGTAGGAGCATTATTGGTACTTTTTCTTTTAATTATTAAATAAGGACAATTGATATACAACAATTAATGACTTTGTTGGTCACTAGGAAGGTATCTATCTGTACCCCCCTCCTAATGCAGGGACCTACTTGGCCATGCTTTACACATTGTTCAGAATCTAAAATGTCGATCAACCTATTTTAAAATCATTTTTAATTATAATAGATTGAAATTGAGAACTAATAAATAAAATATATAGTATATTGAATGAGAGATCCCACTCAATTTCTAAGCACATTAATATTTCTTTTTAAGAAGTAAAAATAAAAAAATCAATTAGCAACAATTGACATGCAACATCATTTACTTGGAAGTATTTGATATGAGTAAAATATATTATTTTTATAAAAATACTTCTAGGAAAATAGTTATCTTTATTTTGATAAGCACAGAAGTGATCAATCAAATGAATAGTGCTCTTGCTTCTCAATTCCCATGTTCACATTATTTTTTTTGGGACCCACAAACATGTGATATTTTCTGATATATGAGACCCTACATTATTTTTACTGTCAGAAATAATTCAATTCTTCTTCTTAACTTGGACCGTAGTTTGTGTTTTGTATTTCTTCTGTAAATTATTTTGTTTCTAATAGTAGTAGTAAAGTCATACTAAATGGATGCCAGTCTACTAGAAAAAAAGAAAAAAACAGTACTGAAAATAATTTTCTACTAAATCAAGTTTTATGAGTGACATTTCACATTGATTGCCCTATTCACGCTTCAACACCTCATTTTTTACCCACACCCTTTACCTCCCCTACCAATCTTTCGTAATATTTGTCTGAATTATATACAAATATTTTTACAACAATACTTTTAACTTATTTATGAAACACAAAAAAATAAGTAATTTTCATTTCCTTTTTTCTTTTTGTTTATTAAAGAAAAAAAAAGAAGACGAAAATAAATAATAGAGGAAAATAAATGAAGCTGAAAAGAAGGAAAACTCTGGAAGGGAAAATAACAAATAAGATAAGCATAGACATTTATATTGATAAGTAAAAGGTGCAGTTTGATGCGAAGAAGTGGATGAGACTGCTCCTCTCTTAATCAAATATCTTGAGTTTAAGTCATGTGTGTATGGAAAAATCTTTAATAGGAAACATGCGTGAACTGAATTAATCAAACTCTAATACTAACACGGAAAAAAAAAACTTAGTATGATAATTAATTATGTGTCATGTTGTTTGGATAAGGTAATAGACATTTGTGAAGAAAGTGTCAATAAAACTTGTATTTCACTTTGGCAACACAATTTCAGTACGCAACAACGACACACAACTATGCTCTTGTTTGTGAATTTTAATTCAAATGTGATGCATACAATCAAAAGAATAATATTGATCTTTTCAAATTTGTGTCACAATCACAGTGATTAAACTCATAATTTAACGTAGTATATTATATTATATATAATTCTTCCTTCTTGTGAAAGTATAATACAAGTCTATTTTCTCAAGTTTTCTATAGAAAAGGCATATATATATAGTTTGAATTGTAATATTTTGTGTTGTTTGGGTCTTGTTTCCCTATTCTTCACCTTTCTTTTCTTCATTGTCATTTTCATTAATCAGATTAAATCAGTTCTAGTAGCTAAGATAATTACTTGACGTAATGGGTGTCTTTTATTCATTATTTATAAGGCAATCGATAGAAACCTAACCAACACGTAAAAATTATTGAAATAAAAAACAATTCAAAGAACACGCAGATGAAAAGTAATTAATTGACAAAGTATAGCAACGATCTAAAAATACATGTTTTTCCCTTCTTCAAATGAGCTGATCTTTAATTTTTGCCATTTAGCAAATCAAAATTATGCTTAATAGCCATCCAAATCCAATGATCTGGACTGGATTAGTGGATTATAATGAAAATTGACCTAAGTTTTGCTTGATTTATGGATCAGATATGATGGGACTGGACTTGGATCAACACAAGATTAGCCCAAACCACTTAAATAAAAGGAAGCATTAACTTTAGAATACTCCCGCTTAAACTAAAAATAGCCGATAAATATACAATATACGTATAATATGTGTATAATTAATTGTTAACATTGATAGACAGATCATTATATTAAGATATTAGTAGTTGGAAAATCATTGGCATAATTCTCAAAGTTAAAACTAGAGAACAGTGTCCTAGTAAAATATGTTCAATAAGAAATATAATTTTACCCTTTTGGACATCAATCAAAACCTAGCCCTTGTTTAATTTGTTTCACATAGAGCTAGGAACCAACTTTTCTTTTTATTTCCATTCTGATCATTTTCTTTTTTGGGATCATTTCTCTGTGTTATATTTGCACATGAGTCATGCTAATCTGCTCTGTATCGTTCCAATTTCCACTTTGATCATGATCACATTCAGGAGAGGCATATGGATGTTTACTTATAATCCTGAAAATTCAACAACTATATTAATTAATTAATTAATACCAAAGATAATTAATTAAACATGCATTATTTTAAAAGGTGAAAATTAATTAATTCACCTGTTATGACGTTTCTCAAAAAATCTCTTTAGGGATTTCCTTCTAGCAATTGGCAAGTCTATAGTAGAAAACAACATAATCCACCAAAATTTCAGATAATCAACCAATGTCCAACAGCTAAAAGATGTAAGATGTGTGGTCGAATGAATAAAACACTTCAATATTTTTTTCAAAAATCTCAGGTTCGAGCTTATAATTGGAGTTTATTTTGTCCTTTAGTATGCCTAACACAATGTGAATTCAAATTAGTCAAATCAATGTATTTCCAATCGCACGAAAGATCACCTGCTTGAAACTTGTAGACTTGGGATTTCTGAGTTGGTTTAATTTCCTTTGCATTATAAGTAGAACCAGATATTAACTGTGAACAGTTTTCACGTGCCAGATTCATAATTGACTCTGCCTATATATATATATATAGGGAAAATTAATTAAAAGCTAGAAAAAATAAAACGTTGCAATTCTCTTATATTTGTAGGTACCTTTTGAACAGGAATATTGTCATAAACGTGCACAATTCCAGCATAGAATATAGTTAACTGTTGTGATTCAGATTTCTCCCTTGGTAAAACAGGAACCTTTGTATCATCATGCCTATATATATTTGAGAAACATAATTAATAGCTCGATAATTAATAACGTTTGATTAAGTAGATATGTTGACTTACTGGAGTTGTGGTAAAATAGCCAACTCTAGATTAGACATCCTTCTTTGACCAACAATATTGTGTACATATTTATTGAATAAATCATGAGCTAATTCATCTGTAGAATTATTCATCGAAGATGAAACGCTCAACTTTTTTTTGGACTATTTAATCTTTCAACAAACTAAATTCTTTACGAGTTTGGTGCTGTTGCACTATACATATATATTATTTGCATCGTCCGTGCCAAATAGATGAATAAACTTTTGGTAAGATAAAGACCTCATTTAAGTATTGGTCTGTGCAAAGTGGATACAAGTAGTTAAATTAAAATAATGTATGTGGGGGTTGGAAAAATTATTGGAAATAACGCCTAAAAAGGCCAATTATGGGTGTGCAGGCATCTCGATGAATTCGAAATTGAAAACGTTTTTCACAACTCCCTCCTCAGATAATTGGAAGCTTGGTAGATCATATATATAACAATTATAATTTAATATATTTGTTCTAGTGTTTTGACATATTATAATTACAAAATTGTCACCCAGGAGATCCGTTTCTCTTCACTATATAAGACAATAATATATACCAGTCAATTTTTTTACTAAAAGGTTCAAAATATGAAGTAAATATAAGAAGAAGTCGAGAGAGTTCAATATCTAATATATATACATAAAAATCAATTATGGAGTTTGAATAAACCTCCTCAACCCTTAGCTCCACCCTTGTTGATCAGAAGCACTAAATTCTCTTCTAATACTGGGAAATTATACGGAATGACCTTGAAAATGTGTAGTTTTGACCCTCCCATGGACAAACCTTCAAGGTCAAAAGTGTAGTTCGTGAAGCAAAACTTATTAAACGTGAAGTTTTGTTCATGGAGCGAGCGGGGTCAAAAGTTTAAGACCATGATTCTTGTAAAAATCAGCCCCCTTCTAATCCAATGCCTTTGGAGCCCATTTTAGGGGTTGATGTGTCCCAACAGAAATCCAGAAAACTTATAGCCCACATTGTGTTTGATAAAACTAATAACTATTGGTGTTTATTTAAGTAGAATCTTGCAACCAGGTCGTAAGCATAACTTGTCTCATGAAAACATTGCTAAGCTGTATATGTTGTGCTTAAGTTTTGACAAATTAGTAATAATTTTATTCCTTCATAATGGATTAACCTTCTCTTATTGTCTGTCTGTAGCACCAAAAACAAATACATGTCTAGCTACTTCCATTATAGACGAAAAACACAACTAATCAGGCAAACAGCAAGTCAAGTTTAAAACATGTTCCATAGTACCTTGGCAACGATCAATGTTGTTTGATGTATGATCATTTCTCCAAAAACTTCTCTGTTTTTCGCCATATTCTGACCAAGGATTGCGCGGAAGTTTCTTTGGTGCATAATGGGCATTATAATATCTGTGATCTTCTTTTCTTTGGGAATAATTGTTCTCCTGATATTTCATTTCTGCATACAAGGGAGGTCCCTAATAAGGCAGACTGCTGAAAATGGTCTCGTTGTTCGAAGTAGCACCAATGGAGGAAGTACAAAAATGTCTGATGAAGACTTGAAGAAACTCCCCTGTTTCCTGTACAAGGTTGAAGAAACAGACAGAGACAGAACAGAAGATACCTCGGAATGTGCTGTGTGTTTAGAAAGATTCAAGACAGGAGAAAACTGCAGATTGCTGACAAATTGCAACCACAGTTTCCATCTCAAATGCATTGATTCATGGTTGATACAGGCACCATATTGTCCAATTTGTCGAACAATTATCCTGAAAGAATCCTGTGCTAAGCATATGTGCGGAAAAAGATTGGATTCTTGAGCATATAATCGAATATTTCAGACCAATCAAACTCATTTGCTGCTCCTCTGCAACCTGCTGTCCAGAAATGCACTCATTTTGAAATTTCTAGCATTCTTCTTCTTTGACTTAGCACAAAATTTTGTTCATTGAACTAAGCTCACTAGATATAATGTAACTAGTGGATCATACTAAAGGTAGCTCTACCTACACCCTTCACACACTGTCTCTACTCAATTGTGTAATTTTGTGCATTATACATAGCCTTCACTTCTACGGGAGACCATTGCGTCCACCATTTGACCATGAGGTTAGGGGTTCAAGTGATGGAAACAACCTCTTGCATAAATGCAAGATAAGGCTGGATACAACGGCCTCAAATATGGTCCGGCCTTCCCCAGACCCATGCATGGTGAGAGCTTTGTACACCAAGCTGCCTTTTAAACATGCTTTCACCTTCTTCAGGTACTTCCCTTATAACCTCTCCCTCCCTGACAAAAGAATCTTCAAGGATTGGAGAAGAACTGGAATTCAGTTGCCAAAATAAAAAGCAAAGTTAGGGAGAATATGTGGATTATGGAAGTTCAAATGTGAATTCCTAGGCCCTTTATGAAGGTTCCATAATTGCAGACCTTAGTTAGATGAGTCTCATAAGTGAACCCAGAGAATGGTGAAAACAAAATTTTATTGATGAGTGTACAATGGGAAGTAAAAGAACACAATGGTTCAACATGAATATTCAAGATTTATCAGTCACTTCAAGACTACTTTTTGGTTGAGTAGGGTTAATACATCTCCAAAAGAAACCTAAACAACTACCCATTATGTTCATAATGATAGCTGAAGTTGCAGCAGGTAATGCAACTGCTGGTGAAGAGAAATGGGAGGTCGCTAAAACCACTCCTAAGGCAGAATTCTGCATGCCCACCTGCAAGGGAGGTACAGAAACTTTAACATCATTGGCTGCATATATCAGTGGGAAGAAGCTCCATTTGGCTGCGAGTAACAACTTGGTTCAAGATGATAGGGAGGCAATCTTCCTTTTCATTGAGTAAAGTATTTTTGCAACAAAAATCAGTTTCTTCACTTTAGAAATCAGAACTAACAAAAGTGGAAATCATATCCGGAAATATATAGGTTTCAACCATGACAAATATGTGCCATTGAGAAGTGATCAAAGAAAAAGTTTCAGGCTACTAAGAACAAAATTGGAACTTGTTACCAATATGATCTTTGATTCTTTTCCATGCTTGACAATAATTTACCGAAGTAGTAAGTGTGGAAGTCTTACTCCCGTCAAGAATGTACCTCGATGGATACAGCTCGTCTTTGAGGTTCGCTAAAACCGGCCAAAGCAGCAGAAAGATACCTGATGAAGATTTCATCATATGACATAATCGCATGGTGCTAAATTTGGCAAATAGACTGGAACAAAGAAACAATGATCTTACCCAATAAAGAAACCAGCAAAATGAAGCAATGCGACAGACACCGCAACGAGTCCAAATTCGCTAGCTAGCACATTCTGAGCACGACTGATTAGAGGCAAATCAGAAGCGAATGACATACCAACCACGGAAGATCTTAGGCGACCAACATTTTCAGAGAATATACTGAGCAGAAAAAGAACAAAAAAGATAGTATGAAAAAGGGATGAAACAGGAAAAGGCAGTTGAGGAAACAATCAAACTAAAATGGTTTAGGATCAACAATTAAACCTGGCAGAGACGAGAGATGTTGCTAAGACTGCGAGAAGGGGAGCAATAGGTGCAATTTTTTTTACAGCTTTTGGAAATTTGTGCTGCATATAAGAACCCAAGAGAATTGGAGCAACCACAACCTAAAAAAGAAGCAACAAAAGAAAAAATAAATTACTAAACCAGTAAACATATATAGATAATAAGATGAGTCAAAACTCAAACATCATTATATTACACATAATAATTGTGAAATAACATAACCTGGAGCGTGCTGATAGAAAGCTTAACAGCATCCACAGGAACATAAGTTCCTGCCAGAATTGTTGTCAAGAAGGGAGTCAGGACCACTGCACCAATTGTAGTGCATGCTGTCATCACTATTGATAATGGGACATCTCCTTGTGCAATTAAGGTTACCTGTAAAACAATTAGAAAGCAAAAAGAGGCTTTGCATTGAGCTTTATGCTATAGGGCCATATATATTCACAATGTCAAGAAGCTGATATCCGAGTACAAGAGAGTACATTCAATAAAAGCAGTTATTTCATTAAAATCTTTTGTTCCAATCAGAAGAAAGAAACTGGCAGACAGGAAATATTGCAACAGAAGTGGACTTCTAGTCGGATGTGAAGGATACACAGAATTAACCAACTTTGAATGCTTGCTAAAAGCCTTGGTGAAAGTGAGAATTACACCTTTCTGTAAAACACGATAATTGTATGATTCACCCAAATTACTTGCATTCCTCAATAATGAAAAGGAGGACAAAGTCTTTGTAAAGGATTGCTTCCAACATACAACTATTTTCTCTTCGCAACACCATACCTTTCTGATTTATTCTCCTCTCTGGGCTTGTCAATTTGAATTTGAAATGTGACAATGACCATAAATAACATGGCATGGATCCTAAAAACACCAAAAGGAATTTCAACTAAAATTCAGTGGAGATACCACAAGAAAAGCAAACCTGCTGTGGATTCATCACATTGTTGAAATATGATGCAAAGATTGAACATCTACAATCTTAACATGTCAATATGGGAGTTAAACCTGATTAACTAGCTCCGTTAAGAAGAACAATATAGAAGAAAGTCACCTTACCACGTTAGAAGCAGTACCTCCAGGGCAACACGCAAGCAATATCAGACCAACTGAAATTGAAGGAGGCAGACCCAAGATTTTGCTGAGAATCATTCCCAAGGCAGGCATAATAGTATATTGAGCAGCACAACCAAACAGAATCTAGAAAGATGAAGGAAAACCAAAGATTTTGGCCTATATGAGTTTACCCCGTATGCAAATATATTATCTGATCAAAGTTTAAGTAACAAAGTTAAAGTACTTGCTCTCTTCATCAAATCAAGCAGTCACCATGTCCTTGAACCAAATGTTTGGACCAAGTGGACACATATACATTCTTTCTTTGAAAGCTTAGATTGAATGTTATAGCATGCGAATATTATATTTGTAGCTCAAATGTGGGACCAAGTTTATATATCTATGCTTCTTTTCTGTAGATATATCTATATTTCTTTCTTGTCAAAGCTTAAATTGAATGTTTCAAATGCGAGTGCTACATATTTGTAGTCATAGGTTCGAAATGAGGGGGAAACGTAATCACATTAGCAGTGAACAACACCTTCCTATTAATTGAATTTCCAGAAGAGCTAATGAAGTTGGCAATGGAAGATTAGGTAACATCTCTTGTGGAAAGATTAGAGAAGAACAACGATATGTCAGCGATTAGCATCATTAAGTACATATTATGTCCTGGCCCATAAAAACATTCAGAAAGAAAATGCAATATTTTTGGGAGTTAAATTCTGTTATATTTACAATTGGTAAGCAAAATAAAAACCGGGGCAAGGAAATTGTGGCCATCTTTCAAGAAGTGTTCTACTCCCTCTCTCGCATGACATGTTTAAAACAACAAGATTAAAAGACATTTTGGTACACTCTACGCATCTTAGTTAAAGATCACAAGATTCAAATGTATTTCTTTATTTTCTTGAACACATTGTCAAGTCAAAACCAACCAAACAAATCAAGATGGTAAGAATTCGCACAATTCACTAACCAAGTTCAAGAACCAAAAGAAAGTAAAAGGAAATCACACTCTAAAACAAATCAAACCAATGAAAAGGGGTGAATTTTTTTTAAGATAAGAGTGTACTCACAGAAAGAGGCCTTTGCAATAACAAGTTAGTTAACTCTTTGATCTCCAATGTAAGACCCATAGCAAGCATTATAAACCAAAGAGTCAAACTATAGGAAGTAGGACTACACTTGACAAACCATGAAAAAGTTGAGGGCTTTAAACAAGCAACAACCCCACCAACAGTTATATAAACAGGATAAAGACTTTCAGCAATTGACAACCAATTTGCCCATCTGGGTTTTTCTTGAATCACAGAAAAATTCTGAGAATTTTCAGGAACACATTTTACTTTCTTGAAATTCGGATTTAAAATTTTTGGGGTTGTTAAAGTGAAAATGGGGTTGATGGGTTTATAAAGGGGGATTCTTGAATAGTGTTTTGGGGTTGTTGCAGTGAGGGGAGAGAAGCAAAGAGATATCGCCATAGCTGAGTTGGAAGAAGAAAAGTTTCAAGCTTTCTTGAATCAGTAGGGATTCATTCTTGATTCTTGGAATGAAACTTTACAGTAACTAAGGATTATGCTACCTCGTATCTAGGTGATCTATTTATAAAGTATACTTATTTTTTTAATTTTAGATCTTTTGTTTATGTTTAGTTTTTACGGTATATAACTTTTAATTTAGAATTTAAAAAAAAATTATGCTCGAATTAACATTAAAAATTAAATACTGCAAATTTTTTATCATCAACTTTGAACCTTTTCATATGAAAGAAATGGACATTTACTTGTTCACAATAAAAAAATATATTTTCTTTAATAATAAATGAAGTACATTTATATTTATCATAATATTTATGAAAAAATTTATTATGATTGAGGCATACCAACTCATACTTGTATGAGGGTATTTTTATATTAATTTTAATGTGATATATGAGATCTACAACGTCAACCATTTTTTTTGCTCTTTCCTCCCTTTTCTCTTTCATGTTTTCTTTCATTTTCAATCTTTTTAGTATCTATTTTTAAACCAATTTTATTACTACCTCATTTCTATTTTTGCTTACCATAAAAATAAAATTTTCTTTTGTCTTAT